ATCAACAGAGGAAGTCTTAATGAGTGGATTAGACTGGACACCAGAGATGGCTTTGACTCACATTAGCAGGATGAATCTCTCTCTCTCTAACCACAAGCCCAAAGGTGGTGAGACAGTGAACCTATCTGCCAACCATCTTAAGGCCTTCTCCAAACTCACATTTGGAAAGTCAAAACAATGGGGCTCTTTCAGCCCTTTGAGAGTAAATTGTTTGGGGAAAAAAAAGAGACATTATAATGCAAGCAACTAAATGCCCCCAGCCCTTCCTGACCGAAGGGAGCAACAGCTGGAGACGTTTGCATGTTGTACGTACAACGGGATGGTATCTGGAGGCACCTGGCACCTGTGTTCCCTCATCCTCATTGACTCCCTCTGAAAACTCTTCAGTTAGGATCAGGAGGTGCAAATCACAGAAATAATGCTAAACCTCCTAATATCAAGTCCTTTGAAAGAAGACATGCACACGAAACCGTAGGACGTGACTGCAGCACCGAGATTCACCAGGCTAGTAATTGAACATATAATTGCATCTTATGTGAGTTCGAGGGGCTGGTGGTATAAATTAGTTGAGTAAACTCATACTTTTGCCCTATACAAATGGGATAATTCAATATATTTACAGCATGACTTTCATATTACATCTTTGTTTATAGCATGTCAAGCTCACAGTTCATACTGGGTTGCCAGCACAGTTGGCAATATCAGTTAAAACAAATATTAAAGACTTCAAGCTAAAGCTTGCAGCTTCCCAGCTCCTTTAAGTTCTAAACAAAGATTTATCAGAAGTGAAATGCAGATTTGAATCCAAAGAAGAGCACAAAAGGCAATTGTTAGGAGCTGTATGTGGGAAAACTGCGTCCTGGACCAGAAGCCAGACTGGAGGCTGCCGTGCCACTGCGCCCTTTCTGCACCCCATTATACCTGTCAGCCGTGTGGGAGACACTGGAACATAGCAGGGAATGCAATTAAATGTCTGAAAAAGCTGTCCTGCAGCAGCCCCAGTTCCAAACATCTCACCAGAGCCACTGGCTTCCTGATAGGTAAGAGATTTGAGTCTTAATTTGCCCAGTATTGGGTAAAATGTCTGTATTAGCCATACCCCTGTTGTTGCTCCTGACCCCCAGCGAGAAGGCAGCTGTGCAGAAGGTTCACTTAATGTTTTTAGGTCTTTCCATGGAAGACCAAGTGTCTCACCTGTCGGACATAAGTCCTCAAGGATCAACAATTTGTTACTGTGAGTATGGAGATGGGAAATGGGAGACTACTCTGAAGACAAAATTGCACCTTTTCGACTCAAAAAGAAAAAGGGGGGGGAGGAGACTGAGGAAACTAAAAAAAGGAAAATATTTTTATGAGGGTTTGGATGAGTCACTCTGACAACTTGCAATCTCTCCCTTTGTCAGCATTCTTCTCCCTGAATGTGCTGCTGAAAATGGAATTCATCATAAGAACATGTGAAGTTCACTCATTTGTTTGTTGCCTCTGGAGGTGAATCCGGACTGCCTCCTAAAAGGCGTTTCATGCGATAGTCTCAAAGAGCCGTGTTCCACCTCTGTAATTATCCACAGCCATAGAAAACCCACTGCATTCAGACAGGACAATGGCAATAACCCCCCTGTGCTAACACCATTTGATAGGTGTAAGATTGGGTCGTAATGTGGTTGTGTGCACTCAGTTGCTTGGACTGTGCAGAGTCCTGTCCATGTCATTCATGAGATATTAAAGACTCGGTTTGACTAGTGCAGCCTCGTTCCTTTGCATCCCAAAGCCAAAGCTGTCCAAGGGAATTCAATCTGGCAATGTATTTTTTCCTCTCATTAGCCTACATCTGCTCTCTGTTAGAAGTCAAGGCTGGGATTTTCAAAGGATGTTCCTCATAAAATTCATCAAACACTGAGCCTGGGTGCACCTTCCTCCCTGCCTCAGCCATCAAACTCACCATGGATTCTAATTTCATCTTTGAGGCTCTCTGTGGCTGGTGGCAGCAGATAGGCATCTCCAGACGGTGATTCAGCGCTCCCTAAAATAGGCAGCTGAGGCGGGTGGGAGGAACCCTCCTCTGGAGGTACTTACCTCTATTCTTATGGACTTCCAGAGGCAGTCTAGACAACCAGACAACTAGACCAGGCGCCCCACTTCTGGATGGTTAAAGTTAGGTGAAATTAGTCCCACCCTTTGGGCGCCGAATTTCTTTAGCACCTTTGAAGTCTTAATGAGAGCGCACAACATCACACGCTCCCGATCCGCGCGGTCCCGAGGTGCTCCTGTGCCCTATCTCACTGTGGGGAGCCTGCAAAGCTGAGCCTTGAAACAAAGCAAAGGGGTTTTTTGATCTTTTTCATGTTGATGTCTTCCTCCCACAGAACTGCACAGTGGAAATGAATGTGGGACGCGCGGGAATCCGGGCCCGTGAGTGGGATGGCAGCACACTGCCTGTGAAGGAAAAAAGAATTAAAAAAGGAAAATAAAATACTTCAGCTGCTATTATTTACAGCTACTGCCCTATAAATCTGCAGGAGCTCTTCTCCCTTCCAGATGAAGCTTTTCTTGGGTGAAAGAGATTCTCTGAGCGGTACAGAAGGAATTGCCCATGGAAGGTGGGTCACGTCCTCCTGGGAAGCACACTGGTCCCACAGGAGATAAAATCTTCCCTTTGTTATGTTAAAGCCCTGGTGCCCAAGCCCACGTTTGATTTGATTTGATTTGTGCAGCTTTGTGATGGGCTGCTGAATTTGTGATGAAATGCCTGATGTTCAGGGGATGGTCACAGGTTTAAAGTAAAGCACTTGCTAAATTAATTTGCCAGATCTTGAAATGGTGATGGGGGAATTTGGAGGTGAGAAAGCAACCCTGATTCTGTGTCATCTCCCCAACTTGCTATTCTCTTGCATAAAAAGTGACAGGATCGTCTGTTTTCAGTGGCAACACCACAACCTTCATCAGATACTTAAACCCCTCTTAATGAATATTTATTGTTCTTTTCTTGTCAAATCTTTCTTGTGGTTTTCTTCATTAAAGATTGTGTCTGTTTTCTTTAGTGCGCCTCATATTTGATTAGGAAACACCTTCCTATCACACGAGAATTATGGAGGGGAGAGAAAGCTTCTCCAGTTCTGAACCCTGATAATTACTTTGGACAGGAAAGACCTTCCCTCCGGATTCCCCCTTTTGTAAAACACGGATCTGTCCAGCTTGCCTCTGCATGGGTCGTTTCTTTGTTCTGCTCGTTCTCTTTCATCAGTTTAATCACAAAACACTTCAGTCCTTTGTGGCTGATTTATGTTACTCATTTGTTGGCTTCTTTTTTTTTAATCTACTCAAATGTACAATAAAATATCTCCCTTTGATCTGCTTCAAAATCCTAAAACGATAGTCGTAGAATTTCTCAAATGATGCTGAAAAAAAGCAGCCAAGCACATCCCTGAGGTTTTCCCCTATATGACCATTGCAGCAGATTTTGAAGAGGTATAAATGTGTTTTGCTGTCACCCCTCTGTGGCAGACAAATGCAAAGAGACTGAGATGGTTTCTCTGTGAATAGCATTGGGTAGGAGCCAAATTTTGTGCAAATCAACACAGATAAACTGACTTGAAAAGGCTTCCACAATTTACACCAACTGAAGACTGGATCTACGTGACACCTCTGCTCACTTCTTAAGAGTTCTAACCAGCAGACACCTCTTGTCCAATTTAGGAACAGGACACTTCTGTATTCCTGGCAAACACTAAAAACCAAGTGGCAACAGGTTTGGTTTCCCGGCAGTTTAATGGAAAAAGAGTAAAATGTTTAAAGCTCTTGAGTCATCAAGATAGAAAAGAAGGTTCTGTGATTTATGGACATGTCAGGACACCAAGCAAGAAAGCTACTGGGAATACAGGCAATGTAATTACTCTTCGCTGACTAGAAAAAATGTGTTTTTTTGAATGGAGATTTCTTTTATGACTTGCTTGCCTGCAAAGGGATGGCCAAAGTGCTCCAAGACAGCGAACAAAGAACGGCACTGGCGTCCTGCTCCTCCTCTTCATGGCCCCGTGTGTCTCAGCACTACAACTCCACTGACCTGCCTAAAATTACATCAGGTAGACTTTGATGAAATGGGGATATCAGGAGAGCTCATTTCCAGAAACACTTCCCAGGCCACTCTAGGGAAAGGATTCTGATCTCAATATCACAACTTGTTTCATCAATAGCAAAGGTTAAATCAGAGAAGGCGGCTGGTGGGAAGCAGGAATCGAGTGATAAGACAAGTGCCCCAACACAACCAGCAGCCCTTTAAAGAAAGAGCAGAAATCAAAAGGAATACGTTTTAAGTGTCCCTTTTTTGATGTGATCCCAGTGGAGTTTCTCTGATGTGGTTTCATGATGCTACAATGTTCTTGTTCCCAGTATGAGTCTTCCTTGTGTGAAGGTGGAGGTGAGGACACTGTTACCTCTGAAAGTAGAGCAGGACTCTCATTTTTCTGCTTTAGGTCTCATGTCCTGGCTGCCCAGACTCCCACAGCTGAGGTTTAGCTCCAGATACGGCTGGAGAATGGAAGTGGAGTTGAAATCCTCACCTCTGGCCACCACATCCCTTGTGGGTGGACTGAAGTTCCCATGCTTCTTGTAGCTCTCTCCACATCTCCCTGCAGTCCCACTGCAGAGTCCACCAGTGCCCAGGGGGGCTGAGCTCTGGCACGAATGACCCCCACCTCCAGCTCTGAACTCTTCACTCCTAGGGATGCAGCCTCTGGAGTCAAATCCTCTGTGACAGGTGGAAATGTCTTCAGGTAGGGATGCTCTACCAGCACTACAGGAGGATTTGCATCTTCCAGACTGTCTACTAGATCCATATTCCAGGTCAGCTTTGCAGCCAGAGATGGTGTTGCAAGGAGTGGTGATCACTGTTGTGAGAAAACACGAGTTTCCCTGAATCACTCATGGGGAAGACGCAGCATTCCTCCTCCCCCAGCCACCAGAGAGAGGTTGTTTAATGTTGTAAGGAAAACAGAAAACTGAGCCTACTTACACACTGTCACAGGGCTCCCAAGGCGTATCCTGAAGAAGAAGAAGGTCACAAGGTTATCCATCACATAACTATCATTTCTAGCATTTTCCAGCCTCCTTGTCTTTGCTGAAGGACCGAACACTGCCCACACATGGTTGCAGTGGCACCCACCTGCTCTCTTCACCCTCCAGGAGAGACTTATATGTTGCAATCTCAATGTCCAGGGCCAGCTTGACGTTCAGCAGCTCCTGGTAATCCCGCAGCATGCAAGCCAGCTCATCCTTGGCCTTCTGGAGGGCGTTCTGCAGCTCGACGTGCTTCTCCCGGGCATCTTTGAGGGCACAATCCCCACGCTGCTCAGTATCACGAAGTGAAGTTTGCAGACAGGACACCTGTCAGGAGACACACAAGAAGTCTCTGCTTTCCCTGCCCTCCTTCTTGCCATATTCACCTTTGAAAGAGAAATTGTCTCTTCTTCCGAGAGCCCCAGGCTGGGAAATATTGAGAATATTGGGAAATATCGAGGTCATTTTTAGAGAAGCCAATTGTTTCCAAAATCAAAATATCAGTTCTGAAATACTACAGAAGTGATGGATGTGTCCCTGTACTGCCAGAAGTCTTGTTTCAAGGAAACCAATACTTTGTTCTAATTAGAACTAATAATTAAGGTTTTCCATTTCTTCCCGTTATAAAATATATAATGAATTAGACGGCCTGAAAATTATACCAGTTTCTATGGGTGCTGAATTAGTGGTGAGTCAGAATTCTACTCCACTTATTGGATGCTTTGAACCTGTCTCAGAAGCATTGTCTCCTGCCAGAATTCTTGCTGGAGCAATTTTAACAATTTTTCAAGCGGCTGTAGTTAATCCAACAACCTAATTTGGTGCAATTAGTTCTTCGCAATAATCAGAATTAAAATAGGCTAGCAGATAATCCTTCTTCCATGCTCAGCACTGGTAAGGTCTTCTCCAGACAAATAGAACCGGTGTGAGGGAATGCTCTTTGATAAAGATGAAAGAAATATCACGGAGATGTAGAAAACACGACTTGGGATCTCACACCTTGGATCCAGTGAGGAAATTTGACCCATCCTACCTGATTCTTCACATTTTCAGAGTCATGCTGCATTCTCTGGATCACAGAACTCAGTTCTTCAATCTCTTGCTGGTGAGACTTCAGTTCATTGCAATCTCCTCCCTTGGCCTCCTCAGGCTCTTGGAACTGCTAGCACGAAAAGAGAGAGCTGGCAATTAATACTGGGAGTGCCCGGGATACGGGAGCCTTACCTCTGTTCCCAGGGTGAGTTACACGAGGTTTAGAAAAGTCCTCATGACCTTGGAGCTCCTGGGGCTTTCAGTAGCTAATGAAGCTTTCCTGAAGTGGCTTTCACTGCTCAACTCACCTACAGCCCCCCCATTCCCAGCACGACTGAGTCCTGTCCCATTGCACCGTGTCTGTTCTGGAGATGTTCTCCTGACTGGGAGACTCACAGAGTTTAGCAGAAGGGAAAATTAGGTCCAGAAGTTGCAGAGTGAGGACAGAAAGGAAAAAATCACCACTTTTGCATTACTGCTATTGCACAGGGAGAGGATTAAGGATGTCACTGGGTGCCACAACTTACCCTGGTTCTGTACAACACATCCAGCTCTGCTTTGCTTTTCTGAGCTACGTCCTCGTACCAGCACTCGACGCTCCTGAGGATGCCCTCCATGTCCAGGCATCGGCTGTTGTCCATTGTCACAATGACAGAGGTATCACAGGGACTTCTCTCCAGCTCAGCAACCTCCTAGGAGCCATGTGAAGTGGCAGTAAGCTGTCACTATGTCTCTGTCCCTGGATTTCTTTATTTCAAACTCCAGTGGAAGTAACACCACCACTGAGAGCTTGTCCTGAGCTACAACCCGGGAGCTGAGACTACACTGGGTCATGCATGCAGCATGAGGGTTTGGGGCTTTCTTTGAGATCTCAAAGTCTTCTTTTGGGATTCCCATTGTCTCCCAAAGAGAGACAGATGGATGGTTTAATCAGGCTTAAGTCAATGTAGACAAGGAGCAGCTGGTAGGATGAGCAGACATCAAGCAAGACTGGGACAGGAGCATCCATACCTGAGCAGAAATACATCTCAGGAACTCTATCTCCTTCTTTAGGTTTTCCACCTTTGCTTCCAGCTCTGTCTTGGCCAGATAGGCACAGTCCACATCCTGAAACAGTTTCCATTTAGAAGTCAAAATGGTGCCTACACAGAGACCTAAGGCAATTTCATAACATTCCCAAAAGAATGTGTAATATTGCTGAGTTCTTGCCTGAAGAACATCATGATTTGGGAATTGGGACCAGCTTAAGTGCAGAGGTTTAATGCTCTCTGGCAATACCCTGTGACAGGTTTTCCTGTACCCATACTTGACCAATGACTTTTAACGTGCTCAAGACCTGAGCCTTGCCTTGCAAGGAGCAGATCAGAGGCAAGTCCTTGGATCTCCACATCCAGCCCTCCCATTCACACCAGTTCTTTACCTTCTCCAGCAACACAAACTCGTTCTCGGCAGTTGTGCGTCTGTTCGCTTCCTGCTCGTATCTGCCGGGGAAAGGAGAGGCTGGTTACTGGGCCTTTCTGGAGACCTTGTTTGTCAGGATATTTAGGGGTGAGGGTCCTTTTGGATCTCAGGTTGTAGGACCTCAGAGGGAAGTCTATTGATACAGTCAAAAATAAAAGTCCCATTAGACAATATTTGATCCCACTGCCCTGGGGATGGTTTCTGCTCACTGACCTGCGCCTGAACTCTTCAGCGAGCCTCTCCACGCCCTGCAGCTCAGGCTCCATCTGCCCCTTCTCCCACTGCAGGGAGTCCAGCTGCCTCCTCAGGCTGCAAATGAAGTTGCTGAAGACATGCTTGATGTTCTTCTGCGATGGCAGGACCTGCTTTTGGAGTAGGTCCCACTTGATGGTTAACAGCCTGTTCTGCTGCTCCAGGTGCTGTACCTGCATCCAGAAAGCAAAATCACCTTCTTCAGGCACACGCCTAGATGCACCCTATGAGGACCAGGTGAATGTGGGGTGAACAAGGCATCTTCCCTTCTGAATCAGCGTCCCATTGGTTTGTTGTGGTTTGAAGGGGATGAGGGGACAAAAGGGGGGCACTGCGATCTGCATAACCCTATAATCCAAGGGCAAATTGGGCATATTGCTGTCCCACTGTCCAACAAAACCCTCGACAGCACAGCCTTTGTGGCAGCTACAGAAACCATGGAATATTTAGAGAAATCTGCATATTCATAGGTTAATAGTTCAAACCATCATTTATCAGTAGGAGACAAAGCAACTTTACAAGGTCTAGCTGCACAGAGAGAAGTCAACAGTGAAGATGCTCAGTGAGATACCTTGGAGGAACAGCTCCCTTCCACTGGTAATGGTAAGAACAGATGCAGCTTATCAAACATGCACACAAACCAGATTAAAATATCATCATCAGTTAGATCCTCACTTGTCACTCGTGGTGTTGGAGTCATGAATGCTAAAACCAGCACAAGGCTCGTGTAACAGGATGACAGGAAAGGCATCAATGACCTGAGCACAAAAAGGTTCCCTTCACGCTCAAACCTCATCATTCCTTTAAGTCTTGTCTCAGCTCTCACCTTGTCAATCAAAGAGGCAAACTGGTTATTGAGGTTCTTCATCTGCTCTGCCTCCTGCTTTCGGATGTGCTGGATTTCAGGGTCAATCTTCACATCAAGAGGTTTCAGCAAGTTCTCGTTGACATGCACAACATGAATCCCATCACTGTTGCAGCTCCTGCCATGGAAACCTAGCCTGTGACTTCCACCTTCACTGTTGGCAGGGGTGTCCCTGCACCCCCGGTCTCCACAGACCCCCTGCTCAAGTCTTCGGCCAGAGGAAATCCATTTACACCCATCTGTGTTTTGGAGGCTCTGGCTGCTGTGGCTCCAGGCTCCACAACCTCCTCCTGCAGCAGAGGGGAAAGCGCCACTTTGGCAGCGACTTAAGCCACCCACAGCAGAAGATGATGAGAAGAACTTTCTTTGATGAAAAGACCTTCCAGCTGACAGCTGCTGGCTCATGCTGGCAGATGGGATGGAGGAGAGGATGCTGGAGGACAGGAGACCATGCAACTCAAAAAGGGGACCCCTCTGCTCTGACACACATCTCAGTCCCTCCTTTATACACATCTCAGAAGCAGGGCTTGGTTGATGTAAATGAATAATATGGAGTTTTCTTGGGGTTTGCCTTGCCTGGCAGCAATTTGTAGGCTTAAATATGCAAAACAATGCATAACACTGAACGTTTGTGAAATCCTACAGAATTTCACTGGTTTGAAATCTCTCTGTTTGCATACTCAGCTTGGAGGATCCCATGGGCTGGGCTTTGTGAGGATTCTTCTTTTGGTTTGGGTTGTTCTCCTTCCTCACATTAATTACAGTTTAGCAAATGGCCTTGAGAGTATCTCCCTCTGTCAAGGACAACCTGTAAAGGAATGTTCTCACGAACAGCAAATGATGAGATTTTTTCAGTATCTGTTATTTTCATAGTCATTCCCTTCACAAAGGGCAGGATGAATCCATCAGGCACAGCCAGAGGCAACCCAGTGCTTGGAAGCTGGAACCACAGCATGGACTGGACACAGAAATTTCCTTGGTGTGGTACAAGAGTGTAAAATACTTACTTTTCATAGATAAACTCCACATTATATGTTTATAAATAAACATGCAGAGCTGGCTGCAGTACCCCAGACAGGGTCTCCACCAGACAGGGCAGAGGGGGAGGATCAGCTCCCTGCACCAGCTGGCCACGCTTCTCTTGGTGTAGCCCAGAACACAGCTGGTGCTTTCTGGGCTGCATTCACACACTCTTGGGTCCTGTTGAGCTTTTCATCAACCAGCACCCCCAACTCCTTCTCCTCAGGACTGCTCTCAATCCATCCTCCACAAAGTCTGTATCTGTGCTTGAGATTGCCCCAGCCCAGGTGCAGGACCTTGTCCCTGGCCTTGCTGAACTTCATTGGGGTGGCCTGGGCCCACCTCTCCAGCCTGCCAAGGTTCCTCTTCCCTCCAGCACACTGACCACATCACACACCTTGGGCTTCTCCACAGACTTGTTCAGAATGTCTTGATCCCACTGTCCATGTCACCAGCAGAAGATGTTAAACAGCCCTGGTCCCAGTACCAATCCCTGAGGAACACCACCTGGCACTGGTCTCCACTTGGACATCGAGACACTGACCTCAACTCTTTGAGTGCAGCCATCCATGTCCCTGCTCACCGCAGGGGGGTTGGACTAGGCAACCTTTAAAAGTCCCTCCTAACCCAAACCATTCAGCACTTCTACAATTCTAAGACAATAAATAGCTTAGAAATCAGGCAGGTCAGTCACAGGGCTGCCTGTGGATGTCTGTTAATCATTTAATTGGGAGCAGCAGGAGGCTTGGCCTTGGCGAGCAGACCATGAGTGCACCAGCAACCAGCATCCTGCAGAAGTGCCTGGCTAATACAGCTGCTGTGTGGCTACTCTCTCCTACTATCCTTGATATTTGAGCTTGGACTTAAAATGCCTAGGATACCTCAAGGCAAATAAAAGAGATTTATTAGAGCTGCTTGACAGACAGGGAAGAACAGGCTGATAAGTTTAATATATTTGCTGAGAGCCTCACAATGCCTCTGAGCTGGAGCCAAGATTCCATCTCTGTCCTTGTGGCTTCGTGCCAAGGTCTCTTTCAAAACAGAAAGATGAAGGGTTTCATTCCAGATGATTTGAAAGAAATGGTTTTCCCCCTGCTATGGTGCTGTACTAACCCCAAACTTTTTCAATAGGCTCAAAACCTTCTCAGTGGTTGTTTTGGTAATTAAATATCTAAGCGTTTCAGATTTCCAAGGAATGGGATAATATTTCACACGCTCCTTCCTTTCCCTGGTTTTGCAGGGATTTTAATTCTTTTTTTTTTCCACTCTGTGGTCTCATTGAAGAGTTTTTTCACCACCTTTCGCAAGAAGGATGGTGAAAAACAAAACTGGTTACCAGAAACTCTGTTTGTACTCTGTCTGCAAGAGCGGCTGATGCCAAAGGTTTCCTTGTACCTCATTATTTGCAAATGTTCTGCACTGGAACAGCTTGCCCTTAGCCCAGCAAGGGAGATAATTGATGGTATGAAGTAGCTGGAAAGACAACCAGCTTAATTGCAGGTTCTTGACAGCACTATCAATTACACCTACACACAGACGAGCAGGAGTGATTGAAGTCCTGGATGTCTCACTCAGCTGCTTAAATACAGGCAGAGTCCGTGGCAATCCCAGCTGGAAGAGCAGGATTGGAGCCCAGGAGGAGGGCATTTGGCCCGGAGCAGCTCTGACTCGGTCTTCATTTTTGTGCTTCCAGTTTGTCTCTCCTTGATCTTGCCCCAAATCCCACTGCTGCATCTGCGTGGTCCCTGGGACGAGGTACCACGATGCTCGGGGGTCCCCCTGCACCTCCTGAGCAGGGGTGGGTGGTCTCGCAGCACTCTGCCTGGCCCTGCTGCCAGCAAGGGGAGTTTGGCTCCTTGCAAGCAAGAATTAGCTCAGAGGTTTTGTTTCCTTGCCGTGGTTAAAGCCCACAGGGTCACAGTTGGTGTAAAATTTTCCTCCCATAGATACATTTTAATAAGGAAAACTTCTGAACCTGGGTTTTCACACCCCCAGACACAGCGAGAGGTTCATCAGTCTGGATCAGCCTCACCTCTGGGTCTGGCTGTCCCCTGCTGACCCCAAGTCCCCCAGAGGCAGGTGATGCCACCTGATGCAACCCTTGGGCTGCCCTCAGTGCCATAGCTCGGGCTGCAGTTTAGAGGGCCACAAGGTCAGCTCTGCCTCCCTCTCCCAACTTCATCTTATCCCACCCAACCTGCTGCAGGAGACAAAGTTTTTGTGTATCACTTGACAGCAGAGAGTCACCAGATTTAAAATACACCAGATCTTCTCCCCTGGCTCCCATCCATTGATGGAACTCAAGTGTACTCATGTCAGAGCAACTGGGTTTGCTGCAGGTCCCCTCCAGAAGAGAGAGGGCTCTGTGTGGATGTGGGCGCCGGGGGAGTAGCTCCCAGGGTAACCACAACTCATTAACTTACTTCTAATCATCAGGAATTTTGGAACAAGGCCCAGCAATGAAGATAGGAGGCCCACAATTTCCATGGTGCTACAATGCAGCCCTGACTAATTTCACAGCTTTTTGCCAAAGTAAATCAGGAGGAAGCTTCTTGCTCTGGCCGCATGTGTACAGCAGAGCGGGCTCAAGCCCAAAACTGCCAGAAAGGCTGGAAGAGCAGGCACAAAAACCAGCTCCACACCACCGTGGCACAACTTTTTTTCTCCCACTAGGTGGTGGTATCTAATGCGTCTTGAACATCCCTGTCCACGTGGCTCTTGGTGGTGAGATGAAGGTGTTCACACCTGGTTCAACACTCCCATCTCTCAGGATACCACCGGCGAGAGCTACTCACAGCTGAGAGGCCAGGACAGGGTGGGAACAAGGTCCCCAGTCCCTGCAAGGAGGGAGGTTTTCATACAGGTTTGTACTCTGAGGTTGACTGTGACCCCAGGGTGTTGTGCAAAATTTGTGCTTACCCAGTAATGCACCTCTGGCAGAAAACCAGCCCCGAGAGAGAGAATTACTGCCAGCTTTAAGGACAACTGACCTACTGTCATCTTCTTCACCACCTTGGTGTCCTCCTCTCATACCTGAAGTCTTGCTTCTCATATCACTACTCTTGGAGGGCCAAGCTGTGCCCAGGCACAGGGTGTCAGTAGACACCTTCCCGTGTCACATCCTCAGCACTGTGCTGGCTGATATTACACGTCCCAAGACCATTCACTGACATTAATCTCAAGACCCCATCTTATGATGGTCTTCTCGTGACTTCAGCTCAGACTCCAAACCTCAAGAATCAAAATATCTCTGGGCACAGCCTTTTGCAGTCGAGCTGGTGGCATTTTCCACCAAAAAACACACGGGCAGTACCTAACTGACATAGGCAACTGAGTGTTGAGTCAAATCTGTATGGTCCAAAGACCTGAAACTCAGCCTTGGTCTTTACGCCAAATACTCAGTCGCCTTACAGCTACTAGCAGGAGCTGCACTGTGATACTGCTGAAGGAAAGGAACTGCAATAATTAAGCATCAACTGGGACAGATTCTTCACCCCTACCTAAAAAGCGATACTTTTATGTGGAAGGAGGTGCTGGAATACTCATCTCCAGAAGCTGGAGATATGATTACAGCTTAGCTGACAAGCAGAACAGGTTTTGATGTACCCTTCCAAGCCATTCCTTCACTAAATTAGCCCAGCACTTCAGGCTATGCACGACAAGTGTGTAAACAGTACTTAAAAGAACTCGGTGGGAACGCTGATGGAGCCCCTGGTGCGAGCTGGGCGTTACCAATCTCCTTCCTAAGCTGGGCTCCCAGGCTCCTGCTGCAGTCAATAGACACAGTTGGTCGGTTTGAGCTCCTCTGGTGATTCATCTTGTACTAAAGCTGATGCACAAATTAGGTCTTTAGAATTGCCTCCAGAAGTGCCCGTTTCTCTCCATGGACTCTCCCATCTTCCCTTTTGCCTTTCCACTCTATCAGTAGAAAACCCACAGACCCGACCACAGTGTTCATATTAATTCTTTATTTCTTCTTAGAGATGCGAAGCTGTAGGACTCTGTCTAATTTAAGAGCAAAACTGAAGCCCAGCAACACTTGGTAGCATGTAGAATGGCCTTCCACCACTTCCACTTTTTATTGTAAGGGGGGAAGCT